TTTTTTTTAGTATTCAATTCTAGATATAATTTATTTCATTATTGAAAGCAATGCCTAAATCAAAAGAATTTATTGATTCCGATTCAGCTAGTGATCAAGAATCAGGAGCAACTTCAACATCCAAAAAACCTAAAGTTAAAGATACAACTAGTAAAAATGAGGTAAGCAATTCCAGAGAAAATCATATTTCATCTATTTTCATTTATATCTAGCCATCAGCTAAACGACCCAAAACAAGTAATGAAGCCGATAGTGGAATAGCTTCAAAGGCTGGATCGAATGGTGAACGACTCTATGAAGTAAATGATTTTATTTTCTAAATTTTAATAACCTATTCTTGTAGTTTGGTAAACTTCGTTATGTATCAGTAAGTGAATTCAGAAATAAACCATATATCAATATTCGTGAATATTACGAAGACAAAGGTATCGAAAAACCAGGCAAAAAAGGTATTGAATGAAAATCATTCTAATTCAATATGTATATATAATTTATAATATTTAGGCATTAGTTTAACTGCTGATCAATGGGATAAATTAAAAACACTTGTCAATCAAATTGATACTGATTTGAAGAAATTTAAATAAAATAAATTCGACAACATATTAAAACCAAGGACATTGAAAATAAAGATATAGTCAGATTGAAAAAAATTTTGTCAAATTAAATCTTTGTCTATTATCATTCATCTCTATGTATTTGTCATTGAATTTCTCTTGTGAAATTAATCTTTCATTTTTGTTTAAAAAAAAATATGTAGCTTTCTTTGAACTTAATAAATATGTTAACTGACTTTGTCTCATATATTTTGTTAATATAACATTGATAGCGATTTAACTAATGTATGTCAAGTATAATATTCTATATTTCTATGAAGATTAAATACAATATTATTATGTTTTATTCTAGGTTTCAGCGCCATCTATATAAAATCTCATGAATAGGCAACTTATTTGCTTATGATCATGCACCGATAACAATTCTCAGGTACTAGATAACGAACTCAGTAATTATCAGGACCCTTGGCGAATGTATAATATAAGTTTTAATGGCAAAGTCTCGGTCTATCTCGAAATATTTCCAAATGATGCAAAAAAAAACCTTCTAGTATGCTCGTTTATACAACATATGTAATAAAGTTTTTATTTTCTTTTTATTCTCCATAGGAACAAGCCAAACACGCTCTAAAAGATGTTCCATAAACAGATGAGATTTAGGACAAAAATTACGAGTAATTACTCATATGAAAATTTGCTATTTAAATTCATAATTAATAATATCATAGTAATAGATCATTACTCTAACTGTTCATTTCATTTTACATGCTTCTTTCAGGAATATTAAAAAAAAGACATAACTATTGAGAATTAAATCTAATGCGTATGACTATATATACAATATGCTGTAATTAGAAGTACATTGAAATTATCTAATGTTATTTCAGCTCTTCAAAATCATCGAAACTACAGATATTATCTTATTTTAAATTTATTTTAGATCAAAATCATTCATGCTAACACGACAAGTAATCTTTCAATATATTATTCTGATTTCTATACTATTGAAACATTGGTTTTACAATCTAATCAATCTTATCAAAGGTGGATCTCCACTTAAAGATCTTTCTTCAGAAATTATTCTCATCACAGGTGCTGCCAATGGACTAGGTAGAAGTATCGCTCAACAACTTGCTCATTTTGGTTGTACATTAATTCTTTGGGATGTTGATGAAGTTAATAATGTTCGCGTAGCTCAAGAACTCAATCAAGCTACGAAATCAAAACATATTCATGCTATGAAATGTGATCTCTCAAGCAGAGAAAGTATTTATGAATGTGCTAAAAAGGTATATATATAGAATATGCTACATATATATAAATATAAGTTACATAGGTTCAAGATACTGTAGGAAATGTAACGATGGTAATTAATAATGCAGGTATTGTTTCTGGTAAATCATTAATAGATTGCAGTGATGCATCGATTCAACGGACATTTGATGTTAATGTTCTTGCACATTTTTGGGTATGTTGCTATTAAGGATTATAGTATCTATATATAGCTATTTTTTGTATTTGTAGATCTTGAAAGCATTTTTACCATCAATGTTAGATAATAATCATGGCCATATTGTAACAGTTTCAAGTATTGCTGGTTGCTATGGTGTTTCAAAACTAGTTGATTATTGTTCATCAAAATTTGCTGCAGTTGGTTTGCACGAAGCATTGACGTGAGAATCTCTTTCATAGTGATCGTCTCAAAAAAAAACAAACAGCATGAATTATTTTATAGAGCTGAACTACATAGTTTAAATAGAGATGGTATTAAAACAACCCTTGTTTGTCCAACTTTTATCAATACAGACATGTTTCAAGGTCTGACAATAAAGTAAGTAAGCGAATATAATACAAACAATATTGATCATGTATACTCTAGAGGAAAACGAGCACCAGTCGTCGAACCAGAATATATAGCTGATAAGATTATTAAAGCTATTCGAACAAATCAACATACACTACTAGTACCAAACAATGCGATTATCAGAATAGTTATTGATAGGTTAGATATTTTGTATTATTGTCTAAAAATATCGTTCTGCTCATTTATTTCTCTATTAGAATTGCACCAATGTCAGCAAAATTAGAGAGAAATGATGTATTTGGTACCAGTCATATGATGGATACATTTGTTGGTCATCAAAATAAATTTAGTGAAAAGCAATAGAAGTTTATTTTATTTTTATAGTTCCGTCTGATATTTTTATGTTATTTTTTTATTTTTTATTTTTTATTTTTTAACAATCAGGGACAAACAACTCATTTTGCAATAAAATATATATTAAACAAGTTTCTCTCATTTCTTTTTTATTTTTAGATTTAACATCAAATCATGCCTGCACTCGAAGTCGTCGTTGCATATATGAAAGTATTTTGTGTTATGTTTAAACATTGGTTTCGTGATTTATTCAAATCACTTACTAGTAGTACACCTCTAAAGAATCTAAGTGCCGAAACTATTCTTATTACTGGAGCTGCAAGTGGTCTTGGCAAAGGTGTTGCTC